AAAGCCGACACAGAAATGACTCTGCTGAAAATGAGAAATAAAACTTTAGTTTACTTCCTTGCTTTTGTGTTAGTTTATTTTTTTTTTGTTACTTTCTGTAGTTGCATAGCCAGTACATCCGTTCAAAGTACGATATTTACGCTTTTTGTGATGTTTTTGCTTCGCATAGTGAGGTATCCCCACAATTTCTGGCCTACTTAAGAATATGATATGGCAAAATGTCATACAGCTTCGTTTTTTGGTTCACTGTGTTTTTTGGCTCATAGTTTGCCCTTAATCCCATTGTAAATAATTGTTGAATCGGGAATGGTTTTCTGTGCTCTGTTTTCTTATTCTTATTATGACTTATTATACCCTACACCACAAGGTGGTCAGGGTATTATGTCTTTGTGCATTTGTTTGTAACAGCAAAAGGAAACGAGATAGACCCATACTTCCTTTTGATGATCTGCATAGAATCACTTTCTGAGTTGATTTATGCATGTCAGTCCGTCTGTCGGTCCGTCCGTCCGTCCGTCTGTCCATGTATTCTTGTGAACAAAATGCAGGTCGCATTTATTATCCGATTGAGATAAAACTTTGCAAACAACATTTGTTTGGCCCAAGGACGAACCCTATTGAAATTGGAGATAATCGGTAAAAATTTAGATATAGCTCCCATATATATCTTCGTCCGATTTGCCTTTTATTGTGCACCAAACGTGTAATATCAGCCCGAATAGTATGGAATTTTGCACGTACAACCAAATTAGGCCTGAAAATAAGTATGCCAAATTTGATCGAAATCGGTTCAGATATAGCTATAGCTCCCATATATATTGTTCATCCAATTCGTTATTTTTGTCCTCCGCAGTCGTAATATGCACTCTGTAACAACAATATTTGGGGAAATATATCAAATGCAGCTCAGAAATACCTTTGCTAAATTTTATCGAGATCGGTTCAGATTTGGATATAGCTCCCATATATAACTTCGTCCGATTTACCATTTATTGTGCACCAAACGTCTAATATTTGTCCAAATGGGATGGAATTTGGCACATACGACCGAATTTAGTCTGGAAGGTAGTATGCCAAATTTGGTGAAGATCGGTTCAGATATAGCTATAGCTGCCATATATATTGTTCATCCGATTTGTTGTATTTGTTACGTACAGCCGTAATATGCACTCCGTAACAACGATATTCAGGGAAATATATCAAGTACAGCCCAAAAATATCTTTGCCAAATTTTATCGAGATCGGTTCAGATTTGGATATAGTTCCCATATATAACTTTATCTGATTTCAAATTAATTTTGCACCAAATGGGCAATACAAGTTCGAATTTAAAAGATACAAATGCTTTGGCATATTTAGTCCTTTGAATTTTAAATTATAATTATAATCATAGCGTGTATGATTGAATTCTCCCATAAAAACTTTTAATTATTAAGTGGAGCTCAACTAAATTAGCAAAGTGGTGTAGGGTATCATAAAATCGGCCCCGCCCGGCTTTAGGACTTTCTTTACTGGTTTTTGGTTATATTTTAAGACGGAAGAAAAACGTTAATCTTGTTTGTATAGACGGCAATAGCAACATAGAATGTTGCTGTTAAAACTTATCAAACATTATTTTAATTAAATTTTTGTTCGATAACAGCTGAAAACTTTGTTTTCGTAAACACCTGCAATGGAAATAGAACAGCTTACGCTTGTTTCTTGGGGGCTTTTGGAAAGTTGACCGTAGATGTACTTTTTTTATCGAGATATTGTGTTTAGCAACGAAGCTCATTTTTCGCTCAATGGGTACCTAAATACGCAGAATTGTCGATTTTGGACCTGTAACGTGACAAACACGATCACTCAATAGCGACCATTAACAAAACATACTTACAACACATAGCCCAACACACCAACATACAACTCAAGAAACGTAATAAACCGACGAACAAATCAACCACCATATGCAATGCTTACACCACTTGTCGTGGCATGCAAAATAATTCGCATTGACATTACTATGGTGGTGAGATAAATAGTTTTCCATTCGGTGGACAAAGGAGACTCCCTCCTGCAGGAGGCTTGCCTAAAGGTAAGGTCTTGATTTTGCAATCATTTGTTCTTTTGTTCTTCATTAGTTGGGAACATGATATAATAAAGAAAAGCTGGCTAAATTGGAAAATGTTGCATGTAAAGAGACGTATCTATATGGATTGTAATGTCAGAATTACTATGAAAACAAATGCGACAAGTTGTTTTTTTTTTTTTGAAAAATGAATAGAAGGTCAAAATTTATATTATAGATCATGTTTTATATTTCTCTAAAGATTTATTTCCCTACAAAAAGTGTAATTTTGTCCATATTTTATCCAATTATACCGCAAGCTTCATTATCGGTGTACTCGACGACCGTTCATCAGGATTTACGATTATCCTCGTATCATCCATAACCCTAACATCCGGATCCCTGGAACCCGACTTCCATCCCCGTTCATCAGAGTTGCCGATTATTTTCCAATCGTCTCCAAGCCGAACATCATCATCGCCATCCTTGGATACTCGATGTCCTTTCATCAAAGTTCCCGATTATCTTCAACTCGTCTGCAACCCGCAAAAGAATACCCGATTATCCTCGGATCGTCCGTAACCCCATCCATTTAACAGAGTTCGTTATTATCTTAAAATCACATTCAACCCGAAGAACATCATCGTAATCCCAGAACAGCCGACGACCATTTATCATTTTCCCCATTTTCCATTTCAAACCATTTTCCATTTTCTTCAAATCACCTACAACCTTTAGATTATCATCGTGATATTCTGTTACCCGGCGTCTGTTCATCAGAGTCCTCGATTATCTTCAATTCGTCTACAATCCGAACGTTATCTTTCTTGTCCAAGACGACCGTTCACCAGAATTCCCCAATACCCTCGGATCATCCATAACTCGAACATTCCCGACGACCACTCATCACCGTAATATCATCGTCCTAATCCTCATACATCACAGTTTACGATTTTCCTTAACCAGAGCACTACTCTGATTATGCCACATAAGAATTTTGTTTAAAATTATGCAACTTCATTTTAATTAAATTTCAAGTTTAATTTGTGAAAATCTGTTCAGATATAGCTATAGCTCCAATGTATATGTTGCATCCGATTTGGTGTTAAAGTCCCGCACATGTGTAATATTCTCTCCACAACAAGGATATTTGATGCCGGACATCAGATGCAGCTCAAAAATACCTCTGCCAAATTTTATAGAGATCGGTTCAGATTTGATATATATCTTCGATACATATCTTCATTCGATTTCACGGGTATTGCTCACCATATATGTAATATCGGCCCAAATTGAATACATTTTTTCATATTTTACCATTCGGTGAAACTCGGTCCGGTATATCTATAGCTCAATAAATATTAATATAATCCTTATCGAAGTCATATCATCCTCTACGTTTTGCTATAGTCATTATATAACGGTACCTCTCGATATTCTGTATTTTGATAATTTGAGCGACATTATTCACCGGCATTATTTCAAATTTGGTATTTGATGTTCGTAATGGATGCTACAGCCTATGAGAGGAGATTGTCTGTGTAGGTCTACGTCTTCGTATGGTCCCCTTATAACGGTACCTCCCGATATTCGGTATTTTTCTAAATGTGTCATAACATTTGTGTGGCCACAGCCACAAAGCAATCATTGAACCCATTTCTCAACTCAATATTCACTACTTGCAGTGCAACATTTGTCGTTAATACGATTTTAACTTATGACATTATCAGTTAATTAACCGAGTTTCACTCGGTACATTTGTACGAACACGAAGTGGTTTTTAATGTTATTAGTATCAATGATGTTGCATAATTATGTTGTGGCATTTGTCAATGACACCACAACCACCTGCCAATATTATTATTGGTTTGCAATGACAAATTAAGGTAAATGTGGGAGAATGATGTGCCATTTATTTATTGGCGTCAGATGAACAATCAACATAATTTTGGCGTTAAATTGTTGCATAAAAATATTTCAAATTTCATTATTGGTAGACGTAACCCTGAGCGACAAAATTATTTTTCTTTTGTTATAGAAAAAATCCAGAGGAAGTAGAATTTTGAAAAGGGGTCATATAGGCCAATGTTTCGATATAACTTCTGTTCAACGGTACTGCCAGATTAAAGGTAATGTGGATTTTTTTAATTATAATTAAATCGAATTGCTGTAAAATGGTAGTTTGTGCTCACAGTGCGGTCGATTAATACGAGCGGAGAACGAGCATCGGCTGTTATGGCGGCCCACACCATAACCATGGCCAGCGCTTGAGTTCTGGCGACCAACCGAAGGTGCACAGTTTCAGCTGACCTCTTTGACTGCTGGACAACGAATGTTTTCACATCGAAAATAACCAAATTCATCAGTTCACCACTTTCAGCCAAGCGAAGCAACTCTTTAGCTCTGTTGATTCTTGCACTTTTTAGAATTTCAATAGCTTTACCCCAAGCTCATTTTTCAATATTTGCCGAATGGAAAATTGCGATATGTTCATCTCACGAGCCATTTTTCGGCCACTGCGACACGGGTTTCGATCAAGTCTTCTTTACGTTTCGAACCATTTCTGCTGATGTTGCTGTTTTCTTCAGTCGACTTTCTTGACGTCGGGCTACGCTACCAGCATCACGATAACGAGCGATGGTACGAGACACAAGAGATTTATTCACATTTAAATGCTGTAGTGCCCTAACGATAGCCACTTGTGGTTTTCCAGCCAAATATAAAGAAATCACACTATCAAGCTTGAATTCCATCACGAATAATTTTTTTCTGGAAAATGCTCACCAAAATGCTTTTGTACGGTTGTAAACAAAATGTTAGGTTGTGCACTCTGTGCACTCATGTCGAAACCCAAGCTCACTTATTTCCACAATAAGAATTTATGTGAGTAGTAGGCTGAGCAAAAAAATTATTTTGTCATTCAAATTTTTATATTGAGAATTATTACTTCAAATATAAAAAGAAGAGAAATAAAAAATTGTTTGAAGAATAAAGAAATCATATAGATTCAAATAAATTAAATCCTGAAGAAAATGAAAATATCGTTAAATAAGAACGAGAAGCCACCAGCTGGAATTATAAGAAAATTAGTATCCTTGGAATATGGTGACGAATTGAAAGCACGTCATTGGTGCGGTATCAATGAAAATCGAATGATGTAAAATGGATCCATAAAAAAATTCAGAATTCAAAACACTTTTTTGGGATTCAAATGCATTTCAATTTCAATGCCAAATTGTAAGCTATCATGATTGTATTGTATCTATATTTGGAGGGAAATTTAGTCAACTTTTATAATTGTTAGAAGGTTTAGAAAATTGAGAAAGAAACACTGCCCTTAAGATTCCCGCTGCTACAAATTTTCCAGAAATAACATCGGATATCCATCACTTAATTAACAGATAAATTAAGAGTGCATATGAAATTTTTAATCTGTTGACGGGGAATATGATGAAGCTATTCTATCTTCATCATATTCCCCGTCAACAGGTCCGGAGACTACGTTGGATTATTTGGGTAAGTCCAATTAATAATATACATAGTTCATTTCATAAATATTTTCGATCATAAACACATTGACAAGAGAATATGACAGTTGATTTTTTTCACTGTCGGTGAGATTTAAGGTAGTGAACTCTGGAGTGGCTATTACTAAAAAGATGCGTCGTCACAGTAGAAAATATATAGATCCATATTTCAGTAAAGTCTCCATACAACAGTACCTCCCAATATATTTCATACATTCTTGACATAATGTCAATGCCTGTGCCCAATTTCAAAGCTTGTTTTAAAATATTTCGAGGTCTATTTAGACTTTACACCCTAGTCAATTTTCCTTTTATTCCCGAAGTCTTAAACATAAACGCTTCTGTATCCGCATTTGATGTCTGTTGTTTAAAACTTTTAGACGTAAAATTAAAGCAATCAAAAATTTAAAAATAAATTTCGAAAAACAGATTGACACAGTGACTTTATATCCCACCATGCAGATGATGGCTACTTGCAGTGAAATAAATTCAATATCAAGAGCATTGCATGCAAACAAAGAGATTAACTTAAGTAAAGTTTTTGGTGCAGTTTGCCTGAAACAAAATCCACCCATAACAAAAATCCAAAAAATAGCTGCGGATAACTAAAATTAATTTAAAAACCAAACAGAAATTTGGTCAACGTGAACTAATCATTTGCAATAGAGTAAATAAGCTAACTTACAAATTATGGCAAAATTTTTTGCCAAAAACAGAAAACAGAAGTTTGTTGTTTACAATTACATAATAGCGAGGACAGCTTTCAGTGGTGGTGCAAAGTGAAATAGGTAAACATGTATTGCCAGCATAAATTCAGCCGAAATTACATAAATATTATATAATTGTTTTGGTTATTTAAAACTTTGATCCTTTTGTGGGGGAGGTACCAGAAAGAATTGTCCGATCTCTACCATCTTTATAACAGATCTTGTATTGAAAGAAATATTAAGATGTGCCAAGTCTGAGTGGAATTGGATATAAATTTCGCGTCTTATGAGCTTCATGAATATTTAAAAGTTTGACTCAGTGTTTGGGGGGAACCAGAAGGAGTGGACCGCTATATTCACACAATTGCCTTGGGTTAATAATAATATTGTGATGTGTGTAATTTGAAGACAATCGGGCTATTAGTTATTTCTTATTTTATAAGAGTTAAAATTATTCAGAATGTTGAACCTTTGTGGGGGAGGATGGTGTGGACCGACATTATCCATTTTCACACCTGATCGAGCACTGATGCAAATATTAGGATTTGCAAAGTTGGAACAATCTATCTACCCGCTTTTTATGAAAATTATGACCTTTTGTGGGGGAGGTGCCAGAAGTTGTGGACCGATATTGTTCATCTTCGAACTCGATCTATGTTTGATAATAATATTACGTTGCACCAAGTTTGGACCAAATCGGATACTCTCTTAGAGAATTATCGTGCGCACCAACCAGCCAGAGAGACAGACGGACGAACATCGCTAGATCAACTACAAATGTCCTGAAACGGATTTGGTTTAAAGAGACCTAGGATCTATAAAGGATGTGGGTATAAAAAGGACAAGAAACAAGCAAAGGCGACCTTGACTTCGGCTGGTCCGAAGTTCATTTAAAAACATATAAAATGTTGAAAATCCATTACATGGGTTCCTTTTTAAATTCCAAAATTTTTTGGGAGTAATACAAACATATTTGCCAAAGTTAATTATTTTATCTTGAACATTGTTACTTCTATCTTGACAGATCGAGGAATTTATGCTGAACACGAATACATTAATATTCTTTATGGGCTTTTAAAGATTCTTATGGAGTTTGGTATAAAAATGTACGAAATCTGAGAATCCTCTAAAATATTGAATGAAAGAAGAAAATTTTAATTTATTAATTAATAACTGTTAGCATCACTTAACTGGGACAATAATAAAGGAGTTTGCGGCACATAGTTACAATGTTGCATTACAAGCGCTATAATAAAGCATTTCACACAACTTGGTAGTTTACTGATGTTTCCATTAGACATAATTTTTGAAATGCAATTAGGACATGCTTGGTGAACTCGATACATTATGACAGCAAAAGGGAGGCAATGGTGTTTCTTATGGGGGTCTTCATAATCCTCTGTGGACAGAACTTGTTACGGGCAATGTTAGGTTTAATGGCAAAATATGGCACACCATCTAGCTTTACACCATGGTGAAATGACAAACATTCACACACAAACATATAATTATAGAATGACTTGACACTCCAAAGCAAAAAACTCTACTCACGACACAGATACGCACCCGGCTAAGTCACAATGAGTCAACTCCAACGAAAATGTCATGGCGTTTCTAGCTTCAATTTCTTGTTAACAGAGGGTGCGTGTGGCAAGCATAAAGCCGGGCTATTACCGCGAATTCTTGCAATTTCCGCTAAAGGCATTTTAGAAAAATGCAGGACATTATGGTTTTGTCTAAGATGGAAGCAGCTGTGGAATATTAGCGATGGCAATGAGAGTATTCGAATAGACACACAGAGTAAAAATATTTTGAAATTAACTGTAAACTTCCCTGAGGGGTGTGGGGATATTTAAAGTAGTTTCAAGTCTTTTTATCCACGAAAATATTTTAATGGTTGGTTACGTAAGAAAACAACGAAAAGTCAAGCACATTCATTTTGACAAATATTTCCAAATTGGAAATCTCTTGGAAAATGTTTTTAAAATAAAAATTACTAAACTTTTGGAAAATTATTTTTATTGCTTTTTGGGATTTCGAGATGGAATTCTATCAAAAGGCCTTTAGTTCTATTTGAAAATGAAGTGGAGACTCATTTTAGCAGAGTTTATTATATTTTAGTTCTGCATGCTCTAAAGACACTGTATTAGAAGAACATTAAAATCTCAATGGCAGGTATCACTTGATGGGGATGATGTCCATTTTGGAATTTTGTAATAAAAGGTACTAGTACCTGTGTTTTTCACATGAAGGCTACCATTGCACAGTGGTCGAGGTCGTATGGAAACAGCGGCCAAAAATACTTTCAGTGCACATATCAATATGAATCTTTGGTTATGGTACCTTGATGGGATAAAAATAAAAAATGTGACAAAATGGATATGGTCGATGCATGTTTTGGCATGGTCCCCTTACAACGTACCTCCCGAATAAGGGTTATTTGGGTTTGTTATTTTTTATATAAATCAATTCCAAATTTGATTTTTGTAAACAAAATAAAATAACAATTCAATATAAAATTAAATCAAAGTTAAATTTTGCACAAATAATTTGTTTGACCCAAGGCCCGATTGAAATTGTAGATAATCGGTCAAAATTTAGGTATAGCTCCCATATATATTTTCATCCAATTTGCCTTATATTGTGCACCAAACTTGTATCAGCCCAAATAGTATGGAATATACGTACGACCAGAACTCTGTAACAACGATATTTGGAGAAATATATCAAATATAACTCAGAAATACCCTTGCTAAATTTTATCGAGATCGGTTAATATTTGGATATGGCTCCCATATATATATTCGTCCGATTTGCTTTTTATTGTGCACCAAACGTGTAATATTAGCCCAAATGGAATGGAATTTGGTACTTACGGCCAAACTGAGTCTGGAAACCAGAATGTCAAAATTGGTGGAAATCGATTCAGATATAGCTATAGCTCCCATACATATTGTTCATCCGATTTGTTGAATTTGCTCTGCATAGCCGTAATGTGGAATCCGTAGTAACGATATTCGGGGCAATATATCAAATACAGCTCAGAAATACCTTTGTCAAATTTTATCGAGTTCGGTTCAGATTTAGATATGGCTCTCATATATATCTATCCGATTTCAAGATAATTCTGCACCAAATGGATAATACAAGCCCGAATTGAAAAGGCGCAAATGTCTCGACAAATTTAGTAGAAATCGATTCAGAGGAGGATATTCCTCCCATATATTAGTTCCTTTGGTATGATTTAATTCTTACAAATTCCCCATTAAAAACTTTATTTGTTATGTAAGGCTCTACTAAATATGCAAAGTGGTGTAGGGTAACATGAAGTCGGCCACGCCCCGTCGGCGTGAACAAAAATCACATTGGAGGATTCAGGGGGGAAAACAATTAAAACTTTACCTGAAATCCAATTTTATTTTCAAAATTAATCTTAAAGGCAACTCAGATCACTCACATCTTCTATATTATACACAACTACTAAACACACAAATTACTGCACTAAAAATAAATCAATACCTTGCTTTTCAATAATAATGCCAAGATTTGTCGTTTTAAAATGTATTTAATTTTGTAATACAGTTCTATTTTTACTCCAATTTTTCACTGATCCCTCTGAAAAATTAAATAAATTCCGTATTCATCTCAGGTTTCTAGTTGGGAGAAATACTTAAATATAGCAAGTTGTAAAGAATTGCTGAATTGTTTCGCAAGTTTGTCAGATAAAAGTAATGAAAATGTTGATCCTTTCTGGCAGAGGTACCAGAAGAGGTTCGCGGATATATATCATCTTTACACGAGAAAAAGTGTTTGTATGTGGGAGAATTGAAGAAAGATGGATACTTTTATGGCTTTCTTTGAGCGTTTGTTTTTCATAATTTTGAACCCTATGTGGGGAGACACTATAAGAAATGGTCCTATCTCTACTATTTTCATAACAGATTTTGTGTTGATGGAAATATATGAAATATTTACCTATTGTGGGGAGGTACCTGAGCTGACGCATATATTAGGATTCGTAGAGTTGGGGCAAAATCGGATTATCCTTTCTCTTTTTGAGCAGTAAAATATTTTTTGAAAATTTTTATTTTTTTGTGGGGGAACTACAAGAAGGAGTGGACCACTATTGTCCATCTCCGAACTTGATCTAAGTTTATTTTGATAATAATATAACTATGTACCAAGTTTGGATCAAATCGGATACTCCCTTCGGAAGTTATTGTGCGAACCAGCCAGACAGACAGACGGACGGACGGGTATCGCTAGATCGACTCCGAATGTCATGAAGCGGATTTTGTCAAAAGGGACCTAGGGTCTTAAATGAGGCACGTTTTGGCCGTATCGAATGATATGAGATAAATAATCAGGAATACAAAATCGAAAACTGAACGAATTTGTCTAAACTTATCATAGAATTCTTCCGATTTTTCCTAAATCTGAATTGTCTTATATCTTCTTGAAATTATATATTTTTCTTTATCAGCCTGAAATTCTATACTTATTTTCTCATGTAATTTCCTCTATTTAATCCGTAATACGCCTTCATACAACAGTATCTCCCTATTTTCGGAAGTTTGGAGTTTTAGTCAGATTTATAAATCAAATTCCCTGTCGCAAAAAAATCCCTATAGACATATATAATATTTTCGATATCCCCATGCCTATTTGAGACTTGGCACATATAAAACTTTCTAGATGGGTCTGCGTTTTCCATACCTTCTTCTGATATTCTGTCATATTTTTCTATGAAAAAGTTTAACATCAAAGTTCAAAGTTCTGAATGTTGTCTTTTATAGTTCACGTTTCTTATAACCAATAATTGTCAATTCTTTCAGGAGAAAATTGTCTTCACGTTTTCCTTGAATAACTTACCTAACTTATCTAATATTTCTATATAGAGAATATGGGGAAATATATTTGATACTTTTATGGTGTTCAGCACACTTTGTTTGGAATTCTGAGTACGGATGATTTTTGCAACCATGGATCAATTGGGGATATATTTCCTAAATTTGGAATTCTAAATGAATAACTTTTTCTCCCATCAAACAATATATGACTTTCGCATACGAAGTATCGACAAGATTGTTATTTTTAATCGCCCAACATTGCAGTTGTTTAATTTCTACTTTCTTCCTTACTTATGAATGTATGTCTCTTTCTCTTCTATAACAATTCATAACGACACAATGAAACTGGCTGTATCCATTTAGAGTATTTCAAAAAGAGCAACGATGGGTGCCTTAAATAGGTCATTGTATTTACCATTCACTGTAATTGGAAGAAAATTGTTCTTTTTTCTTTTAAATGTTTTGTAAAATTCTATTAAATCTGTCATAATAATACACACAATGAATAAGACACACGTTGATTTTTTATTCAGCTTTGTGTAAATATTCACTTTTCAATATAAAATTTAAATTATAACGGATGTATACTTTTCTCGCTGTAAATAGACGTTCCGCTGAAAGAAAAAAATATTTAACGTTATAAACAGTCACCTTATTAAAACTTAATTCACGTCTAATGAACGCAAAAGTTCCATTAAGAAAATACGAGCAGACAGAACGTAAAACAAGTAAGCAAAGGCTATAGTCGTGCGGGGCAGACCATGTGATACCCTACAACACTACAATATGTGAGAAGCCCCCTCATGTCCAAATCTTTTTTGGAAGATTTCGCTTTTGAAATTATGTCACGGAGCACTGCCCAGATATTACCCTTAGCATTTTGACCAGGGACATTTTCCCGATATTTATGCACTCCATCGTGCTGTTATTTTTGTGGTCCATTTTACAGCTAATCCAAATGTCATCCAAAATGGTAGAATTCTTCACTGTGCTTAACGCGCTTGTCAGGCGTGTCGATTGGCTTCAATTGTGTAATCAGGCTTTTTTTTTCTGTTTTTGGTTCATTTGAACCCCTAAATATTATCTCCAAAATCCATTTGGCTGTATTCGTCAACGAAATCAGCATAAAAAAGCTAGGAGTTCGTCCATTGTGTTATCACATGTAAGTAATGTTGGTATTTTTCACACAAAAGTAGTGGTCCTTCTACCCGCTGTCTTAAATTCTAACTTCATGCAAGATTTCGTGTCCTTTGGTTTCTATTTGTGACCTTTATAACTGCTGCAAAATCAGGAACATTTTGAGTTGTTGGTCCATTTCAACACCTGAATATATTGCGGACATCTTTGAAGCCCTTCTGAGCCTAACCCTACCTTTGTCAAAAATTTCGTGAGGATCGAACGATAATTGC